GTTTCTTTCGACTACCACGTTTCCTTTTATTTTCCACCTAACTTCCTTCCAAATGGCTGCCATTCCGTCCCATAATCCCAAGCTTCCATCCCATCCCTGAAGCAATCAACAACGCTCTCAAAAACAACCAATGAAAATTCGTTACCAAAAATAGCTTCTTGCGTGATGAAAGAACACTGTAAGTCTCCAATGGTGCAAACTACATTCAAAATTCAGGTTTTACTTCCTGAGTCTGTTCGAGCTTTAAAATATTTATATATTTATGAAAGCCGACGATCTGGTGTATAAGAGGCAGACAATCAAATAAGCGTCAGAGACAATGAAGCACACAATAAGGTTTTGAAACTAACAATAAACAATTTATTTCTGTTTCATTTTGCTTTTAATAAATATAATCTTGGTTTATTATAATTGAGTGAAATTCAAAATGTCCCTGAAAATTTCCATGTACTCTGAAATTTCGCACCAAAGATAAGTCTGGCATGAACAGAGGTAGGAAAGGGGGATCATTTCACACATTCCTCGAGAATAAAGTTTAAACATGAAATAGCGTAAAACGACAAGGAATCTCAAAATTGAAACAAATGCTATTTACTAAGCAAAGTTTAGTTGTTTTCTTTTGCCATAGAGGCTATGTTTTGGGTACCTACTGAGGAATGAACTCACTTGTAATAATCAACCAGACCAGCTCATTAAACATTACCCCCCCATGCCGTGGCAACCAAAAATGAAAACAATTTCTTTATTATTTCGCAATGTGCTACCTTTCTAAATTCGTCATCTCCCCTACTTAAAATACAAGGTGAAACCAGGCGCTTTGGAATGGGGGATGTTTAACGAGGTTAGTCAGATTGAACATTACTATTTAGTAGGGTCAGTTCAAGATTCTCGTGGGCGCCATCGAATCTATGATACGAGGCATCCACTCTATTACATCTGAACTAAACAAATCCTGTCTTTTAAGCGTGCTTACTTGTAGATTAGTAGTTAGCTAGTTATTCTCGCTGACCAGCTCAAGAATTTAATTTCCCTTGACCATCCCACAACTGCACTTCCCTTAAGGTAATATTCATATAAAATGCAAATTTTATTGTAACCTAATTATGTACGATAATGGATCATATGCAATGGAGGCTAACAATTCAACTAGAAAATTGTTAAATATATACAAATTAGAGGCATGTCATAATAGGTTATTCCATCTTAAATAAATAAACAATGTCTTACATCAACTTTTGATTTTTATTGTTAAAAAGTTGAAGCATTTTAACACATTCAACATTATGGATAAAATATACTGAATTATATATAGTGTTTTTTCGAGACTTAACACGAACAAAAGAAATTCACGGATTGAAACAAAAAGAACCCAGAAAGACGTCAAAATCCACGAAAATTTTTTATCCTTTAATAGTCATTTGCGTTTAGTTTAATTTGTGACATATGTAAATCTATGTAGGAGGCACCTCCTCGTGGTGTAATGGTTAGCAAGCTTATCTTGCGAGAACAATTACGATTGAGTAGTAAGTTAGATCCCCACTGGGTGTCCCATACTTTCGACCTTGTCCCACATCTAAGCTGTAATGTAAGTAGAGAAAATATAGCGAGGGTCACAAAAAACTGTCCGGGACCCCAAATCAAGCTTCCCTACTCCCGGTCGGGGTGTTTGCGAGTCAGTACGCACTAGCCCTGCTACTGAGTAGGGAGTTCTATCCTGACTTGATATCACATATTTAAAAGCCCAATAAGAGTTGACATGTAAAACAAAAAAATACTTTAAAGAGGTCTATCCGGAAATAGTCATTTAATATTATCAAAAGAAAAATAGCCAAACTGAAAACCAATGAGAAAGGTCTTTCATGCAAGATAAAAGTTGGTGGTTAGAACAATTTAAAATACAGTAGAATCCCTCATGTCCAGAAGGCCTTCTAACTCCGGTTGTCAGGGATTCTACTATATAGTGTCTCGATTATCATCGAAGAGGAATCCAGAATAGAAATAATTTAATGATCAGTACAAACAGTGACAGCTGTCGCAAATCTAAAGACCATTTCCAAAGACATGAACATCTGCCTGAAATCAAAGATCAGACTTTTGCGTGTATTGGCCTTCTTTATTTTCTCAATCGATTTGTACGCCTGCGAATCTTGGACAACGAAATTACAGCGAAAAATCTTAGCATTAGAAACGAGATGCTGTAGAAAAATCCGAAGCATCTTCTCTATAGACAACATAACAAATCACACAGTGTGGGACATCACCAAACAAGACCTCATAACAACCATCAAGAGGTGAAAGTTGAAATGGTATAGTGGCATCATATGAGCCAACAATCTTTTTACTACCATCCTACAAGGTGCCATATAAGGTAAATTGTTTGTATAAATTTATTTCTTTTGAATGGATTCAATCTTGATCATAACGCTTCTCAAACTGCTTCCAACATTAAGAAAACATGCAGTGAAGGGTCTTGTCATTGGACAATACAGCGTTTGGTTTCTGAGGTACAACAGTGTGGAAACGAGTCTTGAAGATGAAGGTGATTGAGGACGTCCATCTGCAATTGAGAATCAACATGTAAAAACACTAGTCGAACAAGATCCAGGCCATATTTTCATTTAAACAATATCTAACAATTTCAAGAAAATTGTCAAGGCGAAAAAAAACGAAAATGGGTTCCATATGAATTCAGTGAATGTCAAAGAATTCAACATTTTGAATTGCGTCCAAGTGCGAAATTCGAATGTTCAGTTTATCCTCTTACCCAGGACGCGGTCGAGTCGAATTGTGACTTACGATGAGAAATAAATCCTTTATTACAATCGTAAACGATAGGCTCAATAACTCGGTTATTATGATGACTGTCATGATTGTCGGAGGCATCTCCCACGAAGACCGCAACGCAAATGTTGCAGTTTGAGATACCATTGGAGAAGGGGCAGTCTTGTTGGAAGACCTCATAACCAGCGCCAAGAAGAGAGTTGAGATGTTATGGTGATATCATAAGTGCTACCTTAGAGAAAAGAAGAAGAGGCAGACTGAGGTAAAATGGACTGACAACGTCACAGGGAAACACAGACAGTGGCACGCAACCTAGATATGTGGCGGAAGCTGGTCAAGTGTTCAGCTGCGCAGTTCCACATCCTGTCATGATGATGATGATGATGATGGCGGTGGTGGTTTAAACTAATTGTCGAGTCTATTCTCGAATTTTTCAAAACAGAGCATTGGCCATTAATCTAACGAAACCCCCACCTTGGCGTAACACAATTTTTTTTCCATCAAGGCACCTAGCGAGGATTGAACTTATTTGTAACAATCAATCAGAATAGCTCATTAAACATTGCCCCCATGCTGTGGTAACCAAAAATGAAACCATTTTCTTTATTATTTCGTAGTGTGCTATCTTTCTAAATTCATCATCCCCCCACACACACACACTTAACATCCGAGGTATAACCAGGCGCTTCGGCGTGGGGGGTATGTTTAGCGAGGTTAGTCAGATTGAACATTACTATTTAGCAGGGTCGGTGCAAGATTCTTGTGAGCTCCGCCCACTCTACTACATTTGACTTTTCATAAGGTAACATTCATATAAAATACACATTTTATTGTAACCTAAACTAAACAAACCCTGTCTTTTAAACGTGTTTACCTGTAGATCAATAGTTAGCTAGTTATTGTCGCTGACCAGCTCAGTACTATAAAGAATTGCCAGCGCGATAGGAGGCTCGGAGCTTGACAGTTTTTGCACCTAACGACGCCTCACATTAAAACCGAGCATCCTAGGACTATTACCTTGTACCAGAGTGACTTAAACTTAGTAAATAATTATAGAATATATTTGTTGGCCGAAGTAGTTGCATAGCTCCCTCTGGCGTCAGTGTTCGAGTCTAGATGAAATGACTGAATTTCGAATACTAACTCCCTTCCGGATTTGTGAACTAAAAGAACATAACCTTTCTTTCCTACGTTCTGTATCGTAGATAACGAAGCCAAATATAAGGATGTCCTGGGTAAGATGATGAACTACATCCAACAGCAAGGCCTCTGATCAGTAGATTTTGAGGAGCATGGAACTACCTCTTAATTGCTTGTGTTCCCAGGTCTACCTTGACCCGGAGTGGTAGCACCTGTTAGGGTCCCAGCTATGGGAAAATAGTTGACCCACAAACTGGAATCAAAACAATATGAAATTGTAAAAATAGGTTTTAATACCAGTAATATATTTTTGTAAAAGGTTATTATCAGCAATGAATGTTTGAAGAAAAAAAATTATTACTTGCAATAAAAATCTTGCCAGTATGAAATAACACATAAAGGTTGATATGCCGTAAAACAAACCAAACCAAACCAAACCAAACCGCCAAAGACTTGTTTATATTTTGGAAAGGGTATTGAACCGGAAATCTATTCCATCTGGTATAGGACAATAACAGCTGAAAACATTCGACCAAATTACTTGGGAAGAATCATTAAGTATGCATAAGTTTAAAAATCTTATATTCGTATTCAATTTCAGTTCTACGTCGTGGTTATGACGATAAACTACGTCCGCGCCCTGGGTAAGACCATAAACTACGTCCGCGTCATGGGTAAGAGGATAAACTACATTCGCGTCCTGAGTAAGAGGATTAAGCTATACCCGCGTCATGAGTAAGAGGATAAGCTACGTCCGCGTCCTGTGTAAGAGGATAAACTACGTCCGCGTCCTGTGTAAGAGGATAAACTACGTCCGCGTCCTGAGTAAGAGGATAAACTACGTCCTCGTCCTGTGTAAGACGATAAACTACATCTACGTCCTGGGTAAGACGATAAACTACATCCGCGTCCTGGGTAAGACGATAAACTACGTTCGACAGCAAAGTTTCTGATCAGGAGGTTTTGAGAAACGTGGAACCATCTCGTAATTGCTGGGGTTCCCAGGTTCAACCTGATCTGGGGTGGTAGCACCTGTCAGGGTCCCAGCTATGGACAAATAGTTAACCCCCAAACCGGAG